AAAATAAAAGTAAAACGAAGCCTTCTACTAAGAAATAAGCACTTGGTATTTGACTGCTCACAGCATTATCTTATTTTTAAAACCATTTATTTCAGAAAACCAGTACTTCCTCTAAGAAATAATACAGATCCTTTACTTCAAGAAGTTAGGCTTAGTGTAGGTACACTTATTTATTTGCATTTTTAAATCTCTAAATAGTTTTCATATGACAACCTTTATTGACAACTAAAACCAGTTAGCTACCACTTCACATATTATAATTGCATTGCATAGTAAGATACCCTGATTCAGTCTTCTAGGCCAAGGGTCAGCAAACTTCTCTAAAAGGTCCAGATTTTAGGCTTGTGGGCCACACAGACACTGTTCCAACTAATGAACTCTGCCAACTAGTGCTAAGGCAGCCATAGACAATATGTAATAAATGAGTGGGATTATATTCCAATAAAACTTTATTTACCAAAACAGGTGGCTGGCCTGTGGGCCATAGTTTGCTGACTCCTGCTCTAGGCAAACAGATTTGATTATTAGTAAATAACACCTTCACTGAATATATAATCATGTTTCCCTCACATCTAGTAGTTGTTACAGGAACATTAGCTATTTAAATGGTAAATGAACCATAAAAATATTTTCTGAGATCAGAATCTCAGGTTAGACTGGGAAATTAAAATGTGTTAATAAAGCACACATTAAAATATAAGTTTTAAAATGTACAGTAAGGGTATGATTAAGTTTTATTAAATAATCTTACCTTAATCAAATGAAAGAATCTAAACTCTAGTACATCTCTGGTTTCAATTCAAAATATATTTGAATCAAAATTTCAGTTTCTTGTAAAATTCCTAAAGAAACAAAATTAAAAATCTTAAGTCAGATTCCAGTTCCAGATAAAATGGAGTAATCATACACCAAGCACATAACTGTAATGACAAGACCCGGGTAGAATGCATGCAGCAGGTACTTGAGAACTCAGTAAAGTAAGCCAGTATTAGGCAGATTCGGTTAAGACCAGAATTTGAAGTACCTCTGAAGCAACAGCAGGTTTACCACTTTTTCCCCTTCTCTGGTATCAACCAGACTGAACTTAATAAAGTCCAAATGGAAAGCTTCAGGAGAATCCCTCTAGTTCTGGCTCGAGGAAAGGGAAAGGGGTCTCTTAATACTCACAAGAAGGTATGAAAATCTCCAATTTTTCCCTTTTTTCTCTCTTCTCTCAAGCCAAGACACCCATGGCAGCAGTGGCAACAGAGGCCATTAGGAGTCTAAAACTCTGAGGGAGGGGACCCTACCTCTCTGATCACAGGAGCTACGGTCCCAAGAGTATGTAGTGGATCCCTGTTTTTTGTTTCTCTCTCTCTGTCCTCCTGCCACTTGCCCCAAATATGGGCACAGTTGCAGGAATGCACATTAAAGAGGGATAAATAAAGCCCCACCTTTCTGGTTAGAGATTGCAAACAGGGAGTCACAGGGAATCAGAAATTAACGGGAGATCACAAACAAGGAGGAGCTTGGGAGAGCAATACCTGAAAGTTGTTTATATGAACTCCTGGGCTCACTCTTGAGTGGCATATGTGTGGCTCTGACCCAAACAAGCATACATGGACTTTGAGAACTGAATTATGAGACAAACCACCACTCAAGTTCCAGACTGGCAAAGTGTGGCACACATGTAGGACAAAGACAAATAAAATGGCAAAGGCTTTGAAAATTGAACTGATTCTACAATCACGACCCATAGGAACTTGCAGTCTGAATTGAACTGGGTTGAGTGCCTACTAAAACAAACACATCAACACTCTGCATAGGATTTAAACAAGACCCAAAGTCTCCTAGTATAATAGCCAAATGTGCAGAGTATAATGTTAACTTATTAGGTATACAAAGAAATAGGACAATATCAGCTTGTGTGGGAAAAATGCCAACACCAAGAAAACACAGGTGTTGAAATTATCTAAAAAAGATATTAAAGATTTTAAAGCAACTATTATAGAATGCTTCAACAAGTATGAGGAAACATTCTTGAAACAAATGAAAACACACACTCAGAAAAGAAATAGAAGATATGAAGAAGAACCAAATGGAAATCTTAGAAGTGGAAAAATTTCAATAACCAAAATTAAAAGCTCACTAAATATGCTCAATAGAAAATGGAGATGACAGAAGAAAAAAATCAGTGAATTTACTACAGATGAATAGAAATTACCCAACCTGAAGAAGAGAGAGAAAAAGATTGAGGGGAAAAAAATGAATAGTGCCTCAGGTCCAATATTTGTGACATGTGAATACCAGCAGGAGAGAAGAATAAGTTCAGTACAAGTAAAATTATTTTGTGAAAATATTTTCCAAATTTTTTGAAAGATATAAACTTATAGATTCAAAAAGCTCAGCAAATCCCCAAACAGGATAAATACAAAGAAATCCATGCCCAGACGCACCCTAATTAAACTTTAGAAAATGAAAGACAAAGAAAAAATCTTGAAAGCAATTGTCTTGAGAACATTTATCATTACTTTTAGGGGAAAAAGTGGTCAAATGATTTATCTTCAGAACCTATGCAGCCCAGAAGGAAGTGAAATATTTTTAATGCTCTGAAAGAAAAGAACTGTCGACCCAGATTTCTATATTCAGCAAAAATATCCTTCAGAGATGAAAGTGAAATAAATACACTCTCAGATGAAGGAAAACTAAGTCAACGGGTTGACAGCAGAACTACTTTTAAAGAATTGCTAAAGAAAGTTCTTCCAATAGATGGGAAATTATACTAGAAAGAAAATTTGAAACATCAGGACTATAGGAAGAGCAACAGAATGCTAAATATTTCAGCAAAAATAACAGACTATTCTTATCTTCTTGAGCTCCTTAAAATATGTTTGACAGTTGAAAGTAAAAGTACATCTGATGAGGCTTTTTAAATATGTGTGTGTGTGTGTGTGTGTGTGTGCACACACACACACATATAATACAATATAAAAGACAAGTACAACATAAGGTGTGGGGAGCAAAGGGAATTTTATGGTTGTACAGTTTCTATGTGCCACATGAAGTACTAAAATATTGATTCTAAGTAGACTGTGAAAAATTAAGTACATTGTAATCCCTAGAGCAACCATTAAAAAAGAACTATACAGAGAGATAAGATTAAAAACACATGCAATGATAGAATACCTAACCAAAAAAAAAAAAAAAATCAAATAACCAAAAAAAAAAGGTGGAGGAGGGAAAACAGAGAAACAGAAAAGAGAAATAAATAAGAGGGCAACAAATGAAAAACAAATAAGAAAATGAAAGGCATAAATCCAAATACATCAATAATTACAACAGATGGAAAAGATGAAAACGTACCAATTAAAAGACAGTCAAAAAAAGAATAGCAAAAAAGAAATGTTCTTCAAATATAATGATGTAAGTAGTAAAGCCATTGCTGAAAGGGGCCATAAGCTAAGGAAAGAGAGAAGCCCCTATAAGGTGGAAAGAGTAAGAAAATGGATTCTTCCTTAGAGCATACAGAAAGGAGCACAGCCCTGCTTATACCTTGACTTTAGCCCAGTGAGACTTACCTCAAACTTCTGAGCTCCAGAACTGTAAGATGATGAATTTGTGCTATTTTAAAGCCACTGTTTGTGGTTGCTTATTACAGCAGCGTTAGAAACTAATACACTACATTGTAAAATAAACTTTACAAACTCAAAAGAACTGAAATCATACAAAGTATGATATCTGACCATACTAGAATTAGACTAGATATCAACAACAGAAGGGTAACAGAACAATCCAAACATTAGGAAATTTAAAAACACACTTATAAGTAATCTATGGGCCAAAGAGAAAGTTTCAAGAAGTAAAAAAATTTCAAATTGAACAAACATAAAAAGACAACATACTAAAATTTGTGAGATGCAACTAAAGCAGTACTTAAAAGATAGTTTATAGCATTAAATGCTTATATTAGAAAAAAGAAAAGTATAAAATTAAGAATCAAAGCTTCCAACTTAAGAAAGTGGAAAACGAAATTAAACCCAAAGCATTTAGAAGGAAAGAAATAATAAACAGCGGAAATCAAAGAAACCGAAAAGAACAAAATTAATACCAAAAAAAATAAAACAAAAACTCTTCAAAAAGATCAATATAAGCAATACAAGTCTTTCTAGCTAGACTGACAAAGACAAAAAGGGAGAAGACACGAATTCTCAGTATATTAAATATAACATGTATACAAAAACAGAGATTTCACTATAGAACCCACAAACATTTAAAGGATAATAAGGGCATACTATGAACAACTTTATACACATACATTCAACAACTTAGATTAAATGAATCTATTTTCTAAAACCACAAACTACCAACATTCACTTACACTGATATTAGCCGCATAGCCCTGTAACTATTAAATAAATTGAATTTTTAGTTTAAAACTTTCAAAAAAAGAAAATCTCCAGGTCCGGATAGTTTTACTAATGAAATCTATCAAACATTTTAAAAAGAAATAACACTACATTGATTGATAAGGAAGAAATAAAACTGTCCTTATTTGCAAACAATGATTGTCTATATAGAAAATGTCAAGGAATACAAACACAAAAAAAAACCTCCTAGAACTAATAAGTGAGTTTTTCAAGGTCAAAAAATACAAGGTTAATATCAATCACATTTCTGTACACTAATATTGAACAATATGGAACCCCCAAATTGAAAAATAATACCACCTAAAATAACTCCATAAAAACAAAATACTTAGGTATAAACCTAATAAGATATGTACAGGATCTATATGCTAAAAACTACAAAATGCTGATATAATAAGTCAGAAAACATAAATAAGTAGAAAGACAGAGTGTGTTCATAGATCAGAAAACTCAAAATAGTAAAAATGTCAGTTCTCCTCAAACTGGTCTAAAAATTTAGTGCAATTCCAATGAAGACCCCAGGATTTCTTTGTAGTTATAGTTGAGCTGATTTTAAAATTAATATGGAAAGGCAAAAGAACTAGAGTAGACTAAACTACTTATTTAAAAAGAAATAAGGTTGGAGGAATTACACTCCCTAATTTTAAGGCTTTAAGCTACTTTTTTTTTTTGAGACAGAGTCTCACTCTTTTGCCCGGGCTAGAGTGAGTGCAGTGGCATCAGCCTAGCTCACAGCAACCTCAAATTCCCGGGCTCAAGTAATCCTTCTGCCTCAGCCTCCCGAGTAGCTGGGACTACAGGCATGCACCACCATGCCCAGCTAATTTTTTCTATATATTTTTAGTTGGCCGATTAATTTTTTTCTATTTTTTTTTTTTTTTTAGTAGAGGCGGGGTCTCGCTCTTGCTCAGGCTGGTCTTGAACACCTGAGCTCAAACAATCTGCCGGCCTCGGCCTCCCAGAGTGCTAGGATTACAGGCGTGAGTCACCGTGCCCGGCCTAAGCTACTTTTTAAGACAATGTGTTATTGGTGAAAGAATGGACACATAAATCAATGGAACAGAATAGAGTGTCCACAAACAGATCCACAAAAACATGGCCAACTGATTTTTTACAATGGTGCAAAGGCCATACCGTGAAGAAAGAATAGTCTTTTTAACAAACAGTGTTGGAACAGCTGGGCATCCATATGCAAAGAAAAAATGAATTTCACCTTACCCTCTCATATTACACAAAAATTAACTCAAAATAGATCATAAACCTAAATGTAAAAGATAAAACTATAAAACTTATACAACAAATAGAATTTAAAAATAGGACAAAATCTTTGTGCCCTGGAGTTAGGCAAAGAATTTTTAGATATGACACCAAAACACAATCCATAAAATAAAAAGTTATTAAGTTGGACTTTATCAAAGTTAAAAATTTTTTGCTCT